TGTGTGTGTGTGTGTGCGTGTGCGTGCGTGCGCGCGCGTGTGTGTGTGCGCGTGTGTGTGCGCGCGTGCGTGCGTGCGTGCGTGCGTGCGTGTGTGCGTGTGCGTGTGCGTGTGCGTGCGGGCGCGCGCGTGTGTGTATGCGCGTGTGTGTGTGCGCGTGCGTGCGTGCGTGCGTGCGTGCGTGTGTGTGTGTGTGTGTGTGTGCGTTTATGTCTGCGTGTGTGCGCGTGTGTGTGTGCGCGCGCGTGTCTGTGAGTGTGCGTACGCGTGTCTGTGCGTGCGCATTGCGCGTGTCTATGTATGTTCGCGCGTGTGTATACGTCCGCTCGCACGTGCGTGAGCGAGGGAGAGCGAGCATTTGCTCTCGCGTACGCGCGCGAGAGCGTCACTCTACCTGACATGAAGAACTTTTCGGGGTTGTTCTGGGCCATGTAGTATGGAGACACTGTATGCTGTACCGCGTGCGGGGAGAAGTATGGCTCCGTCTCCTTAGTCACAACCTGCAGCGGCATCCGGTAGAACGGTAGCGCCACCTGTACGAAACAAACGCAGACGAAAAACACTCCATATGTAAACAATTGAACGTCACTTCCGCTCGGAGAATGACCATGCATGAATACCACATGGAACCATGAATACCATAGATACCACATGGACACCACATGGATACCACATGGAACCATGGATACCATGGATACCACATAGATACCACATGGATACCACATGGATACCACATGAATACCGCATGGATACCATGGATATCATGGATACCACATGGATACCACATGGATACCACATGGATACCACATGGATACCGCATGGATATCATGGATACCATGGATACCACATGGATACCACATGGATACCACATGGATACCACATGGATACCGCATGAATACCACATAGAACCATGGATACCACATGGATACCACATGGATACCACATGGATACCACATGGATACCACAGGGATACCACATGGATACCGCATGAATACCACAGGGATACCACATGGATACCGCATGAATACCACATGGAACCATGGATACCGCATGAATACCACATGGAACCATGGATACCACATGGATACCACAGGGATACCACATGGATACCGCATGAATACCACATGGAACCATGGATACCACATGAATACCACAGGGATACCACATGGATACCGCATGAATACCACATGGAACCATGGATACCACATGGAACCATGGATACCACATGGGTAAGACATGGATACCGCATGAATGCCACATAG